GTACATTATTCTTTTGGAAATTGTGAACCAAGTGTGCCAAGGTACTTTGCGTCCTAGTGCAGCAGGGCTCTCCTCRCGTTGTCCTGTAATCAATATTAATATGGATGAGATCATATGGTATAGATAAAGGTTATTATATTGGCGCGCGGAGATACGGATTTTATCTTCGAGTGTTCCATAAAATTCTTATCCCCGCGCGCCCATGTAATGTTCTATTCATTATATAAACTCACATTTATGTCTATAAGGCAAGAAATAGGGCAATTTTATATGGAGTATCCATGGTAACGTTATTTTCACATGTAAAAGATATCACTTTTTTGCGCTAGAGATTTCCTGGCATTTCATTGAAGTTTATGTAATAAAGTTTTTTAGTAAATGTTATTTGCTGTATGTTTTTCCTATCAAAGGGTGAGAGAGGACGAAGAAAGACGGAAGCAAGAACTCCAACAACAAATAGAAACAAAAGACGAGAGGAGTGAATTGGTCAGCATGGAGAAGGAAGAAGTCAAGAAAATGGTATAGTAAATGATGTTATTTCTCGCAAAATACTACGTTTTAGGATGATCATAGAAAATCCGACTAGACGTGATCGAGGTAAAGAGAAAKGGAAGTGCGAGAGGGATGTACAATACAACGAGAGAATGACTGTTAGGAGAGGGGTCTGKGACTGGTTGCACGAAGGATAATATAGCGGCATCAACCGGATGACTCCTTATCCAGCGTATATGATCTTTGGAGTGGACAACGTCGTCTGATGGATAACTTTTCATATAATCGGTCCTTAAAAGATTCTAATTGAAAAAAAAAAGAAAGAAATATGCATATATCATTACTTGTTAAGTGTATTTAGTTTTTCATTCACTCATTTGTTTGCCTTACGGCATGCTCGGTTCCTCTTAGCTTTGATATTCGCCCTTTCTTCCTCCCCATTCCGGTATGTTTTATAGCTTTTGGTGTTTTGTAGAGTCGCGAGGCTGCTCAGTCATCACAAGCGGTGCGTAGCATAGTCAAAGAGAAAACTTATAAAAGGTACGGTATCTAGCATCTATTGTATCATATTTTCGTACTAGAAAATACCTGAAATAGAAGAAATAGAAAGTTATTATAGCATGCTATAGAAAGAAGGTAATTCCGGGCGAAAGACAAGTCGGAAAATATAAATCCGTCCTGGCTTGTTATTTAGCTCAGCTGGTAGGGCATCGGCGGTAGTACAAATCCGTGGATTCGAATCCCAGCGAGGTCGGAAATTATTATTTTTTTTTTCGAATTTGTTTATAAGGCTCTTATCTTCCGTGATAACTAAGCAGTGTAACTTTCTATTACTTTATTTACTTTTATTACTTCTATTTTATTCTATTATTTTATTATTAAATCATATTCTTCTATTTGTTGATGAAAAAGAGTTCTTCTACTGACCTAAAACAAAGTGCTGTTGTTATTAATACATGCATTTGCTCACTTTATACTGTACTTCCCACGTATACACGTCTCATGTTCAATAATTTTCATATCAAACGCCAACAATCTTTTCAACTCAGATTGTATACTGCATCCGTTCTTTATACAGCTCTTTACTCTGGTATTTAYCATGACTTACATTCCTATTTTTTTCCATCCATCTTTGTTTTTCCTTTCGTTTCTCAATCATTCCATGAACTACACTGAAATAGACATAATACCTAAAATTAATCAAATTCTATCATTTTGATTTTCCTCTTTTTTATCATTAAACATTAAAAGAATAAGCTACCATATCATTCATAAAATGCTACGAGTACAAATGTAACAACACGCAAATCGTTGTAACTTCGATTTAACAGGAAATGTACTGCGACGCCATTTTGTGCAGCAAAGCATCATGCTGTAGTCCTCGCAAGCTCGCATTTTTTCATATTCGCTAAATTAATCCTCATAAACTGTTTCTGCTTTTTCTTGGCAAAAATAGACGAAGTTGTGTCGTTTCTTCTTTTAGGGAATATATCAACTGCGAAGACTACAACTCCCATCATGCTTTGCTGTACAAAATGGCGTCGCGTTCACATTGCCTATTTGTATTGATTTAATCTTTTGTTCACATGGCAATTTTCATTCAGCACCAAACATTCATTCCCTTCAATTTTCTCCAGGGGCGGATACGTTTACATCGGCCTTCTATTTATTGCAATTATCGTAAATATCACTAAACAGTCGGGCAGACGGTTTTGACCGTCATTTAGGAGTAATGTGAACTCCAACGAACGAATGAGATTAAACCGTCATCTGCTTATGTGCTTGCTCCCGTCAATCACACATGCACACTACTCCGAACCAAACTGCTTTCGAGAGCTTGTACTCAACCGAACTCCGAACATCAACTCACTGTTCGTTCAGTTTTTGAGGAGTAGTTCGACAATATCCTTCTTTGCAGCTTCTAGAAGTGTTTGGAGTTTTGTTCGACAGGAGGAGCAAGCCCACCATATGATGGTTATCGACCGTCCGTTTGAGTTCGCATGACTCCCTAATGGCGGTCAGATCCTGTGAAGGATTGGAAATGGTGTAGTTGTGATATACTTTACAAATATTGGGCGTCCCGTTCACAAATTTCTTGATCCGCTCCTGCTCCAATTTAGTCTCAATCAAWTTAGAAATCTATCATCCATGACAGGCGAACTATKGGAAAAGGCTGTTTCTTTCTATATATCAGTCATACAAACATYGCTATTCATACGAAAACCCGCGATCTTCCTTAATATTTTCAAATAACCTCAAATACTCTGTTAAAAACCAGCATGTTGCGATACTGCTTTCTGTTGCTTCACTAATCGTCGTGTAGGTGTGAAGATGAAGAACTACCACCCTTTGTCTTCTGACTTCTACTTCATCTAAAGTGGGCTGCGTCAAACAGCGGTCCGGTATGTGGGCAGCGACTCAAATAAAATACTCATAATGATTGTGAAACTTTAACCAAACTAAAACGATAATGACGTTTAACACTTTTAGGATAATTTCAAAGTAAAAAAAAAAMSRAWWAAAMMAWTACTGATCCCCAACATAAATGTATTATTTAAACAATAATATACAGTAAATGATTCTCAATTATAGTCCGTTATAATGGATATGACTTGTAACAGTGATAAGTATATAACCTAAATATAGAAATGTGAAAATGGTTTGGTCGGGCGACAAGAAGGGTCTTGACATTTACTAGTACCTCAGTATAGCCTGCAATTCTTCTTTCTAACTTCTCTTCGCTTAATCCTAGCTCTAATGCCGAACTCAGAATCTTTGCAAAAAAATACAAATTAGCCTATAGAGCGGGTATAGGGTGTTTCCCCTGATATGAAAAAGTGACTTGGGCCATGTTAGTTATATGAGATATGGTGTCCCTAAGCATGGTAGAGCCAAACACATTTGTTTAAATCATCGAGGAAAAAGAAGAATTTGGTTCTTTTACCTAGGGGCAGCCTGTCTCATGTAAAGGGCCTAAAGCTATTTTATCAGTGTCAAAATTTACTTGCAGGCGGAATTTCCAGTTAATTTGACTGCTATTCTCAAGCCAGTTGAAAACTATTCATTCCCCCCTCGATATTCGCATTTTTCAGCGTGTTTAGCAGTTCTTAATGTTTAAGATKATTATAATATCTCTTTTTCAGATCGTTTGATAGAATGGCAAGAGCTGCAGAAATTCGAGCAAGTATTGGGCGTGGTCCTAGAAAGGCTTACAAAAATCAATCGACTTTCGTGTTAGGATAATGTTTAAATTCGATAACTRGGCTTTTATCACAGAGCCATTTATATAAGAAATAGATGACGTTGCCGGATAAGTTGTATTTGTACAGAAATTTCCTGTAGCGGGTGAGGAACAAGGCGTTAATYATCCTCAGTGTTGCRTTTGACAGATATGGAATTATTTATGACATACACCTACTTGCAACGTTGTCATATAAATATAGRACATTTATGATTTAGTGGCATTAGAGTAAGCGCGATTTCTTGAATTCCACGACAAACTTCTTGCAATTTGTTGGGAAAAAAARWSAAAAAWCAGCAATAACAACAACGAAAAATCTCAAATACTATTTCTTTAGCCTGAGTATCAGGCTCTCTCGAAGGGGTTTGGSGCGGTTCGAGAGAGCCTGATACTCAGGCWACTATTTCWTTCGCATTGCTCTTATCAGCATAATCATAAACAATATGATCACAAAGTGAAACTTGGTTCTTTTTTGTTTTTATCCTTTTTTGGCGTCCTCCCGAGACGACAAACTTAGCTGATCTTTTACAACGCAAGTAGATATTTAGATTAGTGTGCTTTCCATAGAGTGATGGCACTTAAACCGTGCAACTGCACAAACTAAATAGTGCTATTTAGTTATATTTAGTAAATCGTGCAATTCAGTTTAATTTGCGTAGAATGATCGCACTTAAACCATGCAACTGTACAAAATCCAAGTACTGTATAACTAATTTGTACTAAAAGTGGACCTTGAAGCAAGACGGTATTGAATGCTTCATTTGTATCAATTCAATTTGATTTGCGCACCGCATGCACGATTTACTAAATACAACTAAATAGCGCTAAGTTTGTACAGTTGCACGGTTTAAATGCGATCACTAAAAGCGTGAAACGGTACAAAATAGTATTACTGATGTTTCACTCTTTAACTAAATGCACTCTAGATCAAGGGGTAGAAATAGTTGCGTAACATTGTTGCTGTTCTGTGTRGTAATTTTACTTTCGATTCGCCCAACTTGTCACCGTTCCCTAAGCAAATCACGCGCACCGCAAAAAGTCGTGGAAAAGAGAAATCATAGAAATAGAAAATAGTGGCTTCAAGCGATTCTCAGTGGGTGACAGTGATGCGTGACTATATGGGAATAATAACAATATTCTTAATATAATATAAATACAAATTTTACTATTTTCAAAAGAGAACCCTTTCGTTCATTATACTAAATCTCGAAAAATTCAATATTATTCTTCAAAAAAAAAACAATACCAATGACATAATGGAAGTGTATTTGAAGTGAGTTATATTTAATTAAAAATTACTGTCGAAACGATGTTTCCTTTGTATTGATGAAATATGTCACACATATCAAATAAAGCCAATCAAAAATRAAAAGGATAATTGGTTGTTTGGTTTAATTTCTCCAAGCTATAACCGTTTTAATTGCTTTTCGCATTACACTCAAAATGTTAAGTGATAATCCATCTTTTTCACTTGAAAATTCTCACTCCTATAATAATTTTGATCTTTAATAAAAGAAACGATAGTGAATAAAACAACATTTTTGTGTTTTTATTATTTTTGCAATTATCATTCGGAATAATTTTATGGGTGAATGACTATCCGGTTGTCATAGCAATCAAGCACGCTAAACATTGAAGTGCATTTTCTAGCTCCTCATGCTGATCASAGTATTACATGTAGCTCGAATATTGCACTAATTCTTGATAAAAAGCCGAGTYCCCTAAGTATAAGGACAGTTATTGTTAAAAGAGGTAATATGGTACTTCACAAAGAATGATAACTGAGCCAGCTGACTTCGTATAAACACTTCACTTTGGAAACATGCCGCGACGTCCTAAAGTTACGCCAAGTGCTCATTCAACCACGCTCGAMTCGACGTTCAGTTTTAAAGGACAAGTACAATTTGATGCAACTCAGAGTCTTTTACGATCTAGAAGTGACTGTTTCTTAGAATCCAAGAGAAAACTAGACAGAGAGCGTATACAGAAAGTCCGTGATGATTCTAGCGCGTGGGATATCCCGCCACCTGACTTTCGACTGCAATTATATCAATCAAAACAATCAAAACCAAAGACTAGAAATGCCAGGGAGTCAATGATTCCAAATTATGATGCAGACGAATGGAGAATACGACGAGCAGCAAAACAAAAAGATCCGATCAAGTTTGAAAGAATTCCTCTTCCCAAAATTCTACAAGAGCCAAAGTCAGAGTTGAAACCATTTGTGACCAGCTTTGACGTTCCAGACTCGCACGCCGCAAACCTCACGTTTGTCAAGGATGGAAAATTTCACCCTGGACCATATAGCAATCCAGAACCACATACGTTTAGACCTGATGCTTTTAGAACCGTAAGTTTTTATTAGTAATAAATAGATAGAAATAAGTGGTTAAATTGGACGCACTTAATCCGTGAAACAAATATTACTAATTACTACTAGAGTGCATTCGTTAAAGCCGTGAAACATTTTTGCAAAATTGTCTTCGTTGACTTTATTCAACAATAGAAGAAAAAACATTTTAATTAAACTTATTTGCCTAATTTAGTTTACAAGCCATTTCACAGATATATTGTTTGCACTCTAGTAAACAGTGTTGAAAAAGTTGTTTACATTTTATTCATTATACACGTAACAGCTCATCAAGAAGTATGGAGTGCCAGACTTCAAGACATCTTATACCCATGACCCCCAAGGACTGATTGCCAAATCAAATGGTCTTAGGGTACTTTGTGAATGTAAGTATATATAAACTGCATTGGAGGCTACTATTTCGCGATTACCTGTCTGAAYGTATACTTCCATCCCTTTAAAGATAGATGTTTCTATAAAAATGTGAGMAGCTAAAATATGAATGCTTGAATCAATTTAAACTATCTTGTTAATTAATGAGAACAGGAACAGTMTGCCTAAAATTTGTCCTCTTGTTCAAACAATTTGATCTTTATAATTTTTAGAAAAATGGGACTCACAAAGCACTTCTAACATTCCACACATATTTAAGGCTCTGTTTACATGACATGGGGTTCCTCTAGGTAGAAGAATTTGGTCCTACTACCTTGGGGAACCATATCTCATGTAAGCAATGCCTTAATTAGATGCTCATGTTTTTTTATCCACATTACTGAAAGTCCTATATATACCATCGGCAAATATTGTGTGTATGATGTGGGACTGTTGGAACATCAGAGAAATAATTCTTTGGTACTAGCCAACCACCCRATTGAACATCAAATGTTTGATATTGCATGACAAAATTTAGTCTCCTTCTCAGCCTCTTCTGTCCTCAGGCTCCCAAGGAGACAAGACAATGCTTGTTGATGTTGATTGGCATGAATGYATAGTTTCATTGSCTAATTGTTTTTGTGAAYTCTGGCTTTCTCTAGCTTACAAAGACCTTGAGTCCATCAGGACTGATGGGTATAGCAAGCAAATGATTACATACAGGCCACCAGAAAAAGACTGGGATGTGAGGCTGATATTACCCACAGGAGTAAGTATTGCACAGTTCATTACAAGCTATTAAAACCTCAAGTCAAATGTCATGCATATCATTGTTTTTCTTGATTTATTCTTTGTCTTTCTTGCACATGTAGTTTTCCTCTCCAGTTATAAAACATTAGCTATTTCACTGCTTTCCTCTAATTTCTTTACTTATTATTAGCAGACTGTCTTTTAAATCATGAAAAAAGCACAAGTCATTTTAATTTACAACTAAATGTATACAAAACAATACAAAAACAATAAAAAATATAATGGCTTAGAATGAAGTAAAAAAAAAAACAGAGAAACAGATACACTTCTAATACATATTAGTACACTCTAATATCATTGTTTCTTATGTTTATTTGACTATCAAACTTCAATTGTGAAATTTTGCTTTATGGGTTTAGTGATGACAAGCTAACAAAATGTAAAAACTATAAAACCTTTTTGAAACTCATTAATGTACTAATCGAACGTTCATGCAGACCAAACACTTACCATAATCTAAATAYTTTTCATTTTCTGTAGGCCTACAGGAAAGGACGATCACCTCATAGTGCTTTAATGAAAAGAATTGAAAAGCAATTGCCATGGTGTTCACAAAGAGATAAACTTGAACCCTTATTCAGGCCAGATATACATGATAATAAGACTGTAGACTGGATAGTTGTGACTGGTCATGCTCAAGATGAGAGTACTCGAATCTAATCCTTAAATTCCATCTTRCTGATACAATTTGGTTCAATTCAAATCATTCTAGACTGTTCTGTGCTTCATATTTTTTCAAAAACATAGTCATATGATTATAGAGGAGTTCATATGACTGTGCAACAGTACGACCCATGGAACCACCCATGCCATGGTCATGGGAACCTCGTCTGATAATGATTCAAAATAAAATATAATAATTCTAGAAACATCACCTTCAAACTGTGACATGGAGGGCCGTTGCACAAAAGTGCAATAATATGTTTTTTTGCACAATTATATGACACCCTCTCTATCATCACAAGGTTGTTAAAAGTTATGTGCTATTTATAGCGCCTATTAATTTGTTAAGTCATACTTATTTAAGTACACTGTCTAGTATATGTACATTTTATGGATTCTCTGAATCTAATGTCAGTAAGAACTATTTAATACAGATAACTATTTAATAGATTTTACCATTTACAATGTCAGAGTGATTTTTTTCCTGAAAACCTTTGAAGGTGAATGAAGTGTAGTACACCCAAAAAGACAGAGAAAAATATGTGTACTAAACTGTAATCAATTTATGAAAACAACTCTGACCATTGATATTTATAACATTTCTAATTTTAGTTCATAGTAAATAATTGTTTCAATATCTATTTTTGTAATAAATTCTTGATTTTCAATATTAAAAACTGTTAGACAAAATGCTCCAAAAGTCCTTAATTCTACTGAGAGCTTGTGATTTGCTTAAGTTTCTCTCTATAAGCAGTAACTTCAATACCTTCCCAGGATAAGTTTCCACATGGCTTGAAAATACTAGAGGTAAAAAAAAAATAATCAGAAATCAACAAAACATTGTAGTGTACGTGAGGATAAATAATGCCCTTATAAGATATTAGAGACCTTAAGATTACTACATCTGCATACGTGTAACCTATATATCCATACCCGTGTGAAAATATGGGTAAACTACCTCTTACACCAGGGATACGGGTAGGTTATCGGGTAGGCAGATATATGATGAGTTACTTGACATGATTATTACATGTAYACATACATGGGATGGATGGACATCTTTTATTTAAACTGAGAGATAAACATGCCCACAAAAATGCTAAACAAAACAACCCCTACTTGTAGACAACATGGTCAAGCACATCACRCTCTTTTGTAGTTAGCTCTTCATCAACTGCAGCAATATTTTTTCTAAGATTTTCCAGACTTGCTGTACTGACTAAAGTAGTGGGAATTGATTCCTTGTTTAGTGTGAAGTGCATGGCAAGTTTGGAGATGTCCACACCTTGACTCTGAAAAACCAATCAATAATATGTTAAATAAGAACTATTATAATATTACACACTGAGACCAGGTATACCCTTTACTTTTTTTTGAATCTCTACTTGAAGGTACTCTGTGTTGAATGCATGAGGTACTATCAATCAAATGGATATTAACAYGGCCTACAAAACCATCACAAGTCAAATATTCTACGTGAAACCCAAGCAATAATTGAGTCAGTTCTTTGTTATTTCAAGGGCTTTATCTCACATATTAATCCTAGTAGCAATGTATTGTCCCAGCCATGCTTCCCTCAGAAATCTTACTTTGTACATTAGACATTTGTCATTGTCAGCACCAATTTCCTTTTGGTCATTTTCGCATTTATTAGGGTCAAAATAGCAGTCATCGCCAGACATCTTAAATTCATGGTTGTCATATGAATAGCCTACAGCAAAGATGAGATTGAAAACAAGGTTTGCTAATTAGCATATAAATGATGGTTCATAGTTAGAACTTCCTTTAGTGATCCAATGACATTGCCTTTCAGACTTCACAGGCACAACAATCTTTCAACACACATAAAGCTTTGTCAACTTGAAGAATTATCTGGGAAATTCCTGTCTCAATCTGGAAGACCTGGTCAGAGATAGATTAGGCCTGAAATCTGGAAACAAATTAATGACCCTTAATTTCCATTCCGAGCTATGAATTATTACAAAATAGAATATTATTATTAGATTACCTGACAATACACAGAAGCTTCTTTGCATTTTTCTCTTGTTTTCTGGGTAGCTGGATGCCAAGATGGTGGTCCACGGTTAGATAGCAGYCCCATAGATATAGGAGAAGCATTTATGACACCAACTCCATGTTCCTAATTGTATAAAAACAAACATTAATATCGTATTAGTAATCACTATTATTATAAATACTTARTAAGTGATAAGGAGGCTTATTCTACAATGAAAAGTGCTTTAGTCATTCTCAATGTTTCTMTTACAGCAACATAAACTATTCTCTAATTTTCTTTACCTCAAAGAAAGGAAGATATTCTAAAAGTTGAGTATCATGCATTGTGCATCTGCAATATGTCAACACTGTATCTATTGCCACTTGGGATTTCTCAATAACAGTTCTAAACAATTATTACAGATACCTATTAGACCAAGATCATAGTGATGTTCAAAAATATAACAAAATAAATAAAATATAATATACAAATGTAATTAATGAATAATCAAACAAGAAATAGTAGAATGAAATAAATGTACATGTATCTCCACAAATATTAACTATATTAATTAAACAAAATCAATTATATCTAAATTAGGTGACCATGGGACTTTTACCTGAATTGTTCCAAAGGATATCCAGTGATTCCAATAAACTTTACTTTGCCCTSTTCCTTTATCTGAAACATTTGCACACTGAAGTGTGAAACTGSTACTCTTACTAGTTTATTCTATTCTCTATAAAATACTAACCTTTTGTAGAGCTGGTAGGGTTTCTGAGATGATTAAATCTAATGATTCTGCAAACTCAATATCATGAACCTACAAGGTATACAACTTACATTAAATTTCTTAGAAACTGTGCAAGAAGCATGCTCACCTYCCCACTCTGAACCTTRTGGTCAATGACAATGCTACTTTAATTTATTCTTCAAGATTTCTRTTTGGCAAATGTGTTACCTGTATAATGTCAATGTAGTCTARYCCAAGTCTTTCCAAACTCTCATCCACACTCTTAGTAACCCTTTCAGCACTAAAATTAAATTGTTTATCAACTTCTGGCAGATAACGCCCAACCTATTGCATTGAAAGAATGGTTTTTATTATGATTTTATCTTCAAGAACTCAATAATGAAGAAGTTTCAACTTCAAATAGTAAATTTTACTTGCTCTGCCTAAGCCATAAAACCTATGTACTAATAATACAAGTTGAGTATAATGGGTTAAATGTRCAGAGACACAAAGCTGTATGGGAAAAGCATTCCTCACAGTCTTTTGTTTGCAAAAAACTACCGGTAATGAAATGTTGACCTGCTTCTGAAAAGAAAACAGACCGCATAACAAAGTGCAAGGACTAAATTTCCCTTCCCTGTGGCTCATCACCTAATACTTCATTTTTGAATTCATAGCAAGTAACTACTGTTTTATTTGACAGAATCTTGCGCAATGACCTCATTGTGCTTTCTTTGATTTTTTGGTTAAGGTATTTGTGCAAGAGAATATGTTTTCAAATAAGGCAGTGGTTTTTCACTTTGAATTTAAAAATGGAGTAGATTTAGTGATGAAAATGAATGTACTGCTACAGTGTTATAGCCTGTATATAAAAACCTGGGTTTTGAGAGATTATCAGGGCCAAAATCATTTTAAGTCATGGTAGAAACTGCTGAATATAGATCTTCATTATTATTYTTACTAGTAATTTTACATAGCTTTTCTGTTGTATGATGAACCTATTATTTGAAGTAGCCTAATAATTAATCAGGTTCTTATACCTGGGATATTACATTTATTTGTTTAATTTCAAACCTTGGTTGTCAGAGTGTATGCATTTCTTGGAATTCCTTTAAGAGCCTATGAAAAATGATATGCAGACAATCTATTATGAGAATACATGATATATTTCACTGACTAAATATACAATGACGCACATCTATTTTACAAGCAACAAGTAGTCTTTGTATCTGTTCCTTTCGCTCTTTCCCTGTTTAGGAACAGATGGAAAATATCAAATATTTTAAATTGTATAGCATACCTGGCCCAATACTTGCTCTGATTTTCCATGTCCATACCATGGTGCTGTGTCAATGAGATTGATACCAGATTTTACTGCTTCTTGGACAACCTGGATGGATTCTGAATCATCAGTCTTTCTGAAGACACTGCCAAGAGATGATGCACCTAGAAAACACAAAAATAATAGAATGATTATTCTGTTAATAATAATTATTACACGAATATAATAGATTATAATTATCCTGTTYATAGTAAATATTATTATAGTAGTTTGAATAAAATATACATGTCAATGTATGAATAAACATTTTGTATTAATTAATTAATAATTTGCCACTTACAGTAACTCCACAAAAGGTTTGAATAAGAATAAATACATAAAGTTAGAGGCAGTTTGATTGATTTACAACCTTTTAATCCAAAAGAATGAAAGTCATAGAATCACATCAAGTATATCATCTACATGAAAACGAAAAGAAGCACCTCTATTCTCACTAGTAGAGTTCTAGAAATTGACCATGGCACATTCATGTCATTGATTTTCTCGACAACTGGCAGAATGGTAAAAGAATACTCTGATTATCACTGATGTTTGCAGGAAAGAAAGGGGAAGATTTCATGGACCCACACACTTAGTGTCTTTTGACTTACTGAGATCTGCATTGATTTGCACTAGAGAAACACAATACACAAAGAAGCATAAATTGCATAAATGAAATAGAGGGAAATTTAGTAAAAGACAAAAGAATCCTTTGTCTTCTAAATTTCTCTCATGTTATTCATTAGGAAAATTKGGGTTCCTCTGCCTTCTATACTTCCCTAATGCAGTGCACAATGCAAATATAGACTATAGATATCCCTTATAAGAGATTATACTGAACACAAGTGTCCTACACCATCTTCTGGCACTAGCATGTCTTGCATGTGGGACAGTTTTTACCTAACTGGGCATCCTGTGCTAAGTTAAAAAAAACGAAAATGCCTATGACAGATTTATGCGCAGTCACATAAAAATTGTTATAAAAATCACTTTTTATAAAATCATTTATAGTGCCACATTGCACTTACACTTTTGCGAACTCGAAATGTAGCATTGAAAAAATAGCAAACTGACATAATCACTCTTAATTTATTGAACTTCGTTGTCTGTTCTATACCAAAATCTCTCAGACATGTTGTTTGAGCATTGTATGCAAATTTTAATTCTGTGATATAAATATTATCTTTGGTACCCTAAGGGATTACAAAGAAAGTGTATGAAATAGTACTAAAAAATGTATTTCTCTTGTAACGGACGAGCGTAGCAAGTGGAGAGTGAGAGAGAAATAATTTCCTTAGCGACATAAGGACTGGGCACTAATTGTGCATGTGACATTATGTAAATAGGAGCTGTGTATATACATGTAAGGATGAAGCAATTTCTTGACAATTGTGGTCTAAGTTCGTGTTYATAACTTCATTGATACCTTCATCTTGTGAAATAATGTCTGATTACCGAACGAGAAGTCAGACTAGACAACATGAGGAGAATTGAAGCCGCAGATACTCAAGAAACTCTTGCCCTTCGAATCGTGACAATCGATCAACAAATCGTTGCCATAAAATAGCAGAAGTAACCAAGGAGKACTGGACATCAAAGAGGTTTTCAATGAATTTCAAGAGGTCTTCGACCCAGAGTTGAACTCGGATGCCMTTTCTATCCAAGCACACAGTGATTTTGACAACCAAGATGGAGATCGTGGGGAGCCAGAGACCGGACCTACCCTCCATTCTAACGATCGGGCCAGAATCTGAATCCTCTATGATGATGGCTATTTTTTGCCGCTAACTAGGGAGCCCAGGAAGAGGAGATTTTCAAACCATCGTAGTGCTATACAACATTCTGATTTTGTAATAACCACTATTCGTGATCTGATAAAAGTAATCAAGAAGGAAAATGAGGATAATATGATTGAAGGGGCGGATGAGAAAACGGCTAAAGTGACGATTCAGAGTATTTTTGAAATTTTCGAAAAATGAAAAAAAAAATACATCCAATCATGTTTCTGGTCTAAATAATCATGTTTGCTATTATTTCTCATGATTTCAATAAAAAAGTGAGAAAAGCCACATTTAGTTACATACAGTACCCTCCCCTCCCCCCAAACTTTAGCTTAGGGTTAGTTTCAGGCTTATGCACTAGGGTTAGGGTTCCTATAACCTAAGACAGGGTCTAGGGTTCCTTGATTTAGGGTTAGGGTTAGAAGGGCTAGGGTTTAGGGTAGGGGAAGGGTTAACGTTAGCTAAGGGTTAGGCTCTAAAATCTTAGTTTTGAAAGCAAACAACACCCCCCTCCCCCCGAGTCCAAACTTTGAAACGCACTTCTCGAATTCTTGCAGTACAGCTTCGAGCCAAAACAAACCAACTGTCAAAGTCACGAGTTGTTACCTTGAATATGCAGAGCTAGGATATTTTACGGTCTAGCGATCAGTTKTCAAGCCAAAGTTAAGCACTGGAGGAGCCAAGGTGAATGTATAGTGTGCCCTTTCTGAGTTGTAAAGTCTGCTTGTCAGRAGATTCTYTAAATGAAGTCCAGTTTTGGATCGACAACTTCTCTGACCTTGTGGGTYAGCCAATGTGGCATTYATCCCCCTGYATRGATGTTATATCCTACTCTGATGCCAGCAGTACTGGTYGGGKTGGTTATACAGTACAACTTGGACAGTATGTAGGGTTATGTTGGWCGTGGAGCCTTATGTGCGAGGATGCTTGAACCTGTTAGAGGAAACCAGCAGTTGGAACCYCAATTAGGGTGCCTCGAGTGCGATACTGAGGCTGRAGTCGTTTGCCAAAGGACTGGATCAAGGGAAGTTATTACTATTTCTAATYTATATAACATGTTATGCTTCTTTTCGTTCTCACCACAACGGTGACATAACGGAGTTATATTTATTGGACATTGTTCAASTATTTGTCCGTGAGTAACTTATTTTCGTATTTAGAGAGATRGTAAGTGAGCATTTTGATTAGATGAAACTTAGAAATGCCCATATCTTCATTAGAATCCTGCTGCTCYATTTTATTATGTGTTTTGCCTCTGTTTACTGCATCTCACTGCCCTTTCCTTTCAACAATGTATAAGCATACATGTGATCGCAGGTTGGGATTGTAAAACCCCTAAGCTTATAATTTCAATGAAAAGTTAAAAAAATTCATCTTGCACATGTGATATAGTGTAAACCCCTGAAAACTGCCATTTAACTTTGATTTCTTTGTCTTGTATACGAGGATGTTCAAAGCTGTTGTTTGTTCTTTTTGACAGCCCAAGCAAGGAGTTGTCAATAGAGCTTTCCCTGTATACCCACAGTTACTACTCGACAMTGTAAGGAAGCTTTACCCTGAGGGAGTCAAAAACTACCCAGCTTCTTCAAGAAAAGTAAATAAGAGTACAAGTATTCTTCCTACTGTAATTCTCTCAGGGTCATTTTTACACAAATAATTTGTCAGACAATCTACCATTCTAAAGCTACTACTCATACTAGTAACATGTCTCTTCAAAACTTGCAAAAATAACCTGTTACCATTTCAAAGATGTTTTTAAAAACAATGTATTTGAATTCATGGATAAAAGTGCCACTTCGATGTGTACTAGCATAGGTACTTGGTGCTGTGCATCCTTGCCTGGACTGCGTACATCATAAGCAGAGACTCATTACTCACAAAAATCAAGACATGCCCTTTAACCAGTACCTTCTATTTGTTCTACTGCAGACATTAAAGCAATCTGCCAATGTCAACTCTGAAAGAAAACCACAATATTGACAATTTCCTCATGGACAAGCGCACATCGTTTGGCCCATTGAAAAGCATTTCCAGAAACAAAGAAGGATATGTCGTCCTGCCTGAACTTTTTTACATGTTGAAGAAACTATTGAAATCAGATGAAGACAAAGCTACTGGAGATGCACAACTCTTGTGTGAACTGTTCTCAGGAGAAAGGGCTTCCTATACCTTCATCTCAGACTGTGTACGTGATATCGAGCATAATGTGGCTTTTTTTTAATTGTCGGTGCTACACAGATACATTACCTCATTGGGGGTTTTCCAATCTCCCCTTCTAGTTTCCAAGAAGAATGTTACTACCTATTAAAGAGATGTTACCATACTCCTTTAAAGAGTTAAAATGCAAAGACATGCCAATCCACCTCCCTTTGTTGAAGATAGTACGAAAACAAGGAGAGTTCCTTCTTTGAAGACTGAAAGCAAGCCACCAACACGTCTAGCGAATGACTCTTATCACAAAGTGTGCCATACACATTCCCAACTTATCAAGATACAGTTGTATCAACTTTACTAGAAGAGAGTATAGTATTCAGGGGTAATGGAAATCTTATATTAAAGTAGTTTCTGGCAAATATGCAAAACCTAGTGAGGATAAATGGCTATCCAACTTTGCCATTGACTCATACTTGCAGCTTCTTGCAGCTACATGTTTCAGTGAAAATGTCACTAGTTCTTTTTAGGAGAACTAACTTCGACTGGCTAAGAAGAGATGATGTTAAAAAAGTCCATGTAAGCTGTATGTTTTATGGCCCAATCTAGATGGAAGGCAATGCCCCTTTCACTGTTCCTGTGCACAGTGAAGTTTGTAAAGTTCATCACTTCATGGAAAGGGTCAATTGATCAATTGTTAGCAATATGTGAGTTAGTAATGTATTTGCTTGGTGCTCAACGAATTTCGGGAGGTTTTCAACCCACAGTTCTGATTCCTTATCTATCCAAGCATATAGTTATTTTGATGACCAAGGTGGAGATCAAGAGGAAAGGCCTTCACTAACTTTGTAACCTTTATTTCTATTTGCTTGACATAGGTTCTTTATAAGGAATTTGATGCACCATTATTAAACCCATCATTCAAGATCACCTTCTGTTTCAAAAACTATGCATTGTATTACTACCCTTAAAAAGACCATTTTATTAAGAGACACTGTACAGTATTTATTCAACACTTTTTACCTATTTATTCATTTAATATAGTGCACATAAACATTACATAGTTTATATTGATTTAATTTAACTTGAACATTTAATGTGTTTTTAACATCCATAAACCTA